CTCTGCACCGAGCATCTTTGGAGGAGGGTAAACAAAGAGGTTGATTCGCAGGCTTACTGCAACTGGTCACGTGATATTACCATAAAACCCCATATATCAGCAAAAAGCCCCGATTCTCGGCTTTCAGGACTCATTGGAATTTTTCAGATCACACAAACGATCGAGAACTTACAATGTTTAAAAAAAGATGACAAAATGTGTATGCGCCAACACGCTCGGTCTAAGAGGGTTAAAGTAAGTAAATTTCACGCAATTTTCTGTCACCAACTAATTCCCAATAGTGGCAAGCCCAGCTCAGGAGACACCACCCTAAAACAAAAAAGTGATAGAAACATTCTTTAATAGTATAAAGATGTGCATGGATATGAATCTATCATAGAAACTGTTTCTGCAGTTGGTAAATCAAGTTCAGCATTAAAAAACACAAAACTATTTGACATCAGCATTTAGGATTCAGTCTTTGCCTCACTTTGGAATTTGTCTCACAGAAGAAAGGTTTTGGTATAGTTGGGATATCAGGGAGGGGGCTTAAGACTCACAACAAAAAAATCAGCTGGCTCTATGCCAACTGGGTCTAGGCTCAAAGCGGTGAGCTGTGACGATGTGAAATGCTGAGTCGACAGGCTTGTCGCGACATCAGAGCCTTTTTTTTCTGCACGGATGCCGTGAGTCTTTAAATTCTTCATAGATTCACCTTTAATCAACACAGATTATCTTCCTGTCCTGTTTCACAGCTTCTGTGCCTCCCCCCACCTCCATCACCACTCACACACACTTTCCTCTTATTTATGTGCCTATGAAGTAACAGAGCAGATGCAACAGTGCAACAAAAATGAAGAGCTTATAAGATAAGCTGAAACACAAATGCTTCTAAAGGTTCCTTTCAACAGATGCACTGAATCAAAATGAGCAGTAAACAAAAAAGTGCACCACAAATGACTTGGGGATAATCTACAGAAAAATATACACAAGAAAAAGAGGTTTCAGTCTTTGCAACATTATTTTATGCCTTTTTCTTATTTTAAATCAGGTTTTGGAGCATGTATGGCATTAGCACAACTTACTGAGTTTGGAGGAAAAGAAATGCTGAGTACGACCTAAAGAACACCATACCTACAGTCCACCCAAAAGTGAACTGTTATGGGATTTTGATTTTAGTGTGCTTTTTTTTTTATCTTGCTAAAGGTACAAAACAACTTTAGTACACTGAGAGAAAATGAACAGGTCCATTTACTGTGTCAAATATTCTCTCAGCCAGAACACTGAAGATAAGTCGTGGATTAATCTCCTGCTTGAAAAAGATCCAAAACATTCCACAAAGCTGAGAAAACACATTTGTTTTGCTGAATTTTACCCACAATTTCTAATTGAGCAATGTCTTAACCAGTCTGCACTAGTTGGGGTCAGCCAGCAAGTTGGCACAAAAACGTGTGTGTGAGAGGCAAAGTCACAAGTGTGAGGGGAACAGGCCTGATCTGACCTCAGTTGGAGTAATTGTAATTTTCTAGAATTTCTGGGGGAAAATCTGGACTAAAGCTGGGTGTTAAAACAATACAGATATATATCGTGATAGACAAGTAATCAATATCTAAAGGAAATTTGCCTGATAGAATGTTGAGTAGCTCACTGAACATTGATCCAGAACCGCACAGCATTCTGGGGGATGTAGGCAGAGGAAAGGCTTTATCCACTCGACCTTCCATGACCCACCCAAGCAAAGTTTGTGGCATCAATAACTCACTCACTCTTTGGTAGACTAGCAACAACCTGTTGAATAACATGCGCAGTAGCCATTTCAAGTTTTTCCACCGTGTTTCATAACTGCTTAAAAATGAAAAAGGACAAGGTGAAGGGAAAAATAAGTGTTTTTTTTCTCCTGAACCTTATTTCAAATAGGAAAAACAACAACAAAAAAAACCTAATCAATAAGTATGAGTAGACTGACAATAAATGCATATTGTGATACATTTTTCAGCCAAATTGCCCAGCCGTAATCTAGACACAGTGAGGTTGTGTGAACTGATTACAGACACAACTGCAAACGTGTCGCCAACACCCATTAAGAAAAAGAAGGTGGGACACAGGAAATAGCATCAGAAGACAACAATAAGTAGTGGGATTATCTAAACAATAATATCAAACAGCAGAGAAAGGGAGAAGTCCAATCAAACAACAGCAGCAGCGAGCCAAATGTCACCCGTGTTTGTTCACCCTTTAAACAGTCGCCTCCGCAGGAGTCCGATGCATTTGGTTGGCTAGGGTTGGTTTTAATGTAGTTTGTGATCCATCATTAGGTGCAGTTAGGCGTGGGATTCTGATAGCTGGAAACTGAAAGTTGTGTTGGTTTTTCCCCAACTTTAAACAAAGTGTCTAAGGAAGAGTATCAGGGTCATAAAGTGGCCTAAACTCTCTCCAGACCTGAGTCCTTTTGAAAAATTGTGGAAAGGGGTGAAGTTGTGAGTTGCCGCGCAGCAGAAATAGATAAATTAGACAGTTAAAACACATTAAAGGTTCATAACTCACCCCTATTGTTGTTGGCACTCTGTGGAGATTGTGTGGCGAGGCTGTCACTGTTAACAGTGAACACCAGAGGGCGCAATTTAACGGCTTTCTTTGAGGCACCGTAATAAAGCACCGAAATTAGAGTTGTGTTTCGGTCTGTGTACTACCGTTGATGTTCGCCCCGGTGCCATACTGGAACCGAGTTTCGGTACCCAACCCTAGCTATGATATGAATTTTCTGAATACCGAACATACTGGTTTAAAAGCCTGAACACGCTCAGAAAGTCTCGTCGCAGCCGTCAGTGAATTATTTCCCGGGGGACACTTTTCCTTGCAGCACCGCTATGCGCTAAGCAAGCTAAGTGGAGCAGCTTGTTGCAGCGGCAGGTGGCGATTCCGCTGCTTATATTGACTGACTGAAAAGAAAACATCCCATTTTTGCCATCACTGAATGTAGTAAACACATTTTCAGTAACGTGCACGGTTAGATTAACATGTGACGTTAATATAGAGATGTGGAGACGTATGGAGACTTTAACGTGGTTCTATTGTGAAAAGCCCAGGGGAAGTAGTTTTGTAGTGGAGTTTAGTTGACTGGTGTGCAAGATGAGTTGTCCTGTTAATCTTTATTAAATTACATAAAACATAACATAAGACCAGCTAATGATCTTTTCTTAACCATCCTCCTTCATGACCGGACCAAAATGCGTGACTACTGTCTCCAAACAGCAGTCAGAGAAGAAAAGGCACATAGAGGAGGGAAACAGCAACACAGACAGAGGTACAGTAAAAGAAAAAACGTCATTAAGCAGTGTTTGTACATTTTATTATCAGCTGACCTGTGATGAAAAGAAAAATACCGTGATACACAGTGATATAAAATTGTGGTCATACCGCCCAGCACTACATTTTATTCTTGATCACTAGATCAGTTATCTAACATGTACTGCATCTGATAGTTGTCTACTGTTCAACACTTTCAGATCCTTTCAGTGTCCCTGAATTTCCAGCTCCACATATCCCGACACTGATGATGGTCAGATTCCCCAAAGAGAGAGAAAATACTCCATACAGATCACCTCTGTAACATACACTCACCGGCCACTTTATTAGGTACACCACGCTAGTAACGGTTTTGTGGTCATAAAGGGATGGACATGGTCAGCAACAATACTCAGGTAGGT